CTGCTTACTTCTGACATTTCTAAGGTGTGGTGAAACCCAATGAAGAACCACAGCAGTGATCCAAATGAAAATTAACTGTAAACTTGTATATGCTACCTTAGAGAGTTCATTAGACTAAGAGTGGAAACTTTTAAAGCACTGTGATAATTTAAACAAATATTCTGACAGTAGTTTCAGCAACACCTAACTTAGGATATATGGGGAATCCCAAATTCTTCCCTGCCTCCCAGTTTTATTGAGATATAATTGACACATAATATTGTATAAGCTTAAGGTATAAAACACAATAATTTTGATTTATGTATATGTTTTGAAATGATCACCATAATAACTTTAGTTAACATCTATCACCATCACCTCACAGTTACAAAAATTTTTTTCTTGTGATGAGAACTTTTAAAATCTACTCTTAGCAGCTTTCAAATATACAAAACAATGTTAGCTATAGTTGTCATATTGTACATTACATCCCCAGAAATTGTTATAACTGGAAGTTTGTACCTTTTTACCACCTTCACCCCATTCCTTCACCCTCACCCACACTTCTGGCAACCACAAATCCGATCTCTGTTTCTACGAGTTTGATTTTTGTAAGATTCCACATATAAGCAAGTTTATACAGTATTTGTCTCTCTGTGTAACTTATTTCACTTAGCACAGTGTCCTCAAGGTCCATCCATGTTATTTCAAATGGCAGGATTTCTTTATTTTTTTATGGCTGAACAATATCCCGTTGTATACATCATATCTTCTTTATCCATTCACCCATTGTTGGATACTTAGAATGTTTCTATATCCTGGCTACTGTGAATAATGCTGAAATGAACATGGGGCTCAGATATCTCTTCAGATACAAAATTATTATTTTTTTTGTTTTTGTTTTTTAATATATTTTTTATTGATTTTTTACAGAGAGGAAGAGAGAGGGATAGAGAGTTAGAAACATCGATGAGAGAGAATCATCGATCAGCTGCCTCCTGCACACCCCCTACTGGGGATGTGCCCGCAACCAAGGTACATGCCCTTGACCGTAATCGAACCTGGGCCCCTTCAGTTCGCAGGCCGACGCTCTATCCACTGAGCCAAACCGGTTTCGGCCAGATACAAAATTATAAAGAGTTGCTTAAGTTACTGAGTATAGCTAGAAAGGTATAACCAGTACAAAACAAAGTTTGTTGGCTGATATGAAAATAAATGCTATGCCACCTCCTTGTAATACCACTGTCTATGGTGACATTTCTGAATTAGTTATTTTAAAGAAAAAATATTTTCTTGATCCCCCCAAACTCTTGTAATGCCATCTATCTCTTGGAACAATTCTGGGAAAAGATTTTTCCTCATAATTCCCTGTATATTGCTTGGATGCTAATCAAGGGTTGAGGAAAGCAACATACCTGTGAGAGGCTCTCAGTACACGTTCCGGTTGCCCATCTTTCTATAGTCAGATTTTCTCTAAAATAAGAAACTTCTTTATTGGAAAGTTTCAAAACCTCAAGATGGTTGCAATGAGCTCTTAAGACATGTGACCAAAAGTAAGAAGCATTTTCTTCCTCTTCAAACTTCATGCTCCTTCCTTTTTCCCCCCTCTGTGTTATTTTGTTTTGTTTTGTTTTCTAACTTGCTCATTTTGGTGTAACTAAGGGAATTTTCCTGGAAGTGCCAAAATCCTGCTGGGTGTTTATTGCGAAACATATATTTAATGAGAAGATTTTATCTTGTGCTCATCACAAGTTCCTCCGGATTTCTTGCTCCCTGGGAGCTCTTGTGGTCGCTCAGTTGATTCAAGCCATGTGTTCTAGCCAACATACCTGGAATTGCACATGTGAATTGGTAGGGAGAGGCCTGTCTTCCCTTGTTTGTTAAAATTGGTGTGCTTCTTCAACTATGCCTCAAGTATGTTTGAGCCTTGTAATCAGGCTGTGTAATTCTGCTTCTTTCCCCTCTGACTCCTCCTTTTTGCCACAAACTTGACTGCCTATTGAAGAGATTACCCATGTTGTTCTTTGGCTTGGGGTGCACAACAACCGATTTACAGGGCCAGCCCTTGACAGAACAAGGATTTTCTAGCCAGGTCTTGGTAGTTTAACTTTAGTACTTCCTCTTTCTCATACCTCTATAGCAGTGGTTCTCAACCTTTCTAGTGCTGCGACCCTTTAATACAGTTCCTCATGTTGTGGTGACCCCTAACCATAAAATTATTTTTGTTGCTACTTCGTAACTGTAATTTTGTTACTGTTATGAATCATAATGTAAATATCTGTATTTTCCGATATCTTAGGCGACCCAGCTAGCAGTTCTCAACTGACCCACAGGTTGAGGACTGCTGCTGTAGAGCCTGGCAAAATTAGGGAGCACTTACCATACTCCAGGCACATATAAGTGCTTTATATGTGTTTACACAGTTAAAAAAAAAAAAAAAAACTCTATGAGATAGCAGCACAATCTACAATAGCTAGGATTTGGAAACAGCCTAGATGCCCATCAGCAGATAATTAGAAGAAAAAAAAACTATGGTATATCTACACAATGAAATACTATGCTGCCATAAAAAAGAAGGAATTCTTATCATTTGCAGCAACCTGGATGGAATTGGAGAACATTATGCTGAGTGAAATAAGCCAGTCAATGAAAGAAAACACCACATGATCTCACTCATTTATGAATAATAAAGAACATTATTATAAACTGAGGAACAAAAAGATAAATACAGAGACAGTAAAAAAAAAAAAAAACCAGACTGTCAAATTACAGCGGGGAGGGTAGAGAGATATGGGGGAGATAAGAGATCAACCGAAGGACTTGTATGCATGCATATAAGCATAACCAATGGACGAAAAACTCTGGGGAGGGTGGGCATGTATGGGAGTGGGGGTGGGGTGGGGATTGGTAAGGTATGTACAGATATAATACCTTAATTTAAAAAATGAGAAGAAAAAAAACCTCTATGAGGTAAATATTACTCTCCTAATGAGGAGGAAACTGATTTTGTAAGACGTGTCAGGCCATAAAACTGTGAACAATGCACTGCCCTAGGTGTATGTGTGTGGTGGGGGGGGGGTGTAGAAGGGTCATTATCGCTGGCCCCCCCGGACAGATCATCAGATATGGCCTGGGGACCCCCAACACCTGGGGACCTTCCTGCCACCCCACAAAAGGGAGCAGAAGCATATCTGCAAGACAAAGACCCCAGCAGGTTATAAAAGTGAAGCCCTCTGCATGTTTCTTCACTCTGATTTGGAAATTATTCCCTGAGTCCTCTAGTGTTAATAAGCAGGATCCCTCCCTTTCTCTAGGAAGCATGGGTGGTATTTCTTTGGTCTTCTGTAACATATGGTTCCCTTTGACCGGGAAGCTAACCGTCTTTTGCTTTGTTTATTCTCTGGTGAGTGGACAGGGTTTAGGGTCCGGGGTTGTGGGATAGGCCTCTGGGAGGCACGTGCTGCTGATTTTAGCAGAATTGAAGGGGGTGGGGGACTCCAGGTGTTCCTGGACCTCAGCCCAGGACCCAGCAGGCATCTGAAGAAAGTGGACTGACACCTCTGGACCTTTCGACAGAATGGGTAAGGTAGGGCTCCAGTCAACCAGGCCCACTCCAAATGAGTGGAAGAGGGAGCTTGATCACTACAAAAGTCATAGAACTTCTTCAGGTAAATCTGGAATCAGGACTCAGGAGGTGAGTGAGTTCAGATTCAATTAAGGAATTATGGGTTCCCTCTGCTGTTTGTTTGTGTGTGGGACTAGCCAATTTGCTACCGAGAATGGGGGCTTGACACATCCTTAACTCCTCTTATAGGTTCTCATTGAGATTGTTGTTATGCCCAGATTTCAAGATCCCCAAGGACCACCAGGGAGCCAAGTCCGATGCAAAAGAGCCTTTATTCAAGCTCGAGCCCGGTCTCTCTGCCTCTACCAACGCAGCGGCAGGATGCAAAGAGCCCTGAGTTCTAAGAGTACAGCTTCTTTATAGGGCTTAGGGTTGGGTGGTGGGGTGAGAGCCAGGGTCCAGTTACACAGGTGGCTGGATGCAGTTAGCTTATTTGGCCTTCTGCATTCCTATTGGCTGATTTAAGGGTGGGTTAGGCAACTGGAACTATTTTGTAAAAAACTGCTGTTTAAAAACGTTTGCTTTCTAGCCTGCTTTAGCCTGTTTGAAGATAAACTCAATTATATGACCTTGTAGGCCAGAGACTAGATATGCTCATAATCTCAATGCCATGCCAGGTGCATTTTTCAATTGAATAGAACTGTGTTGTTTTCAAGGCCAGCATCGAGATAACCACTAAGTGCACATAGGGCTGGCTCTTCAACAAAAAGGGAAGTTCTGCTTATAGCCTTGCTCTGCCCTTTCAATGTCAGCAGAAAATTCTGGTCTAGGGCATGGGTGCTGGGAGTGCCCCCATGCCCATCTGGGGAGTTGGGCATTATCTGCTCAGCAACAGTCTGGGCTAGTCTACTGAGAGAATGTGAGTACGGATGTTTGTCTGTCTGCAGCAGATTAACTGGTCTGTGTGAAAGCGAAAGCTACTTTGATTTTCTGTTTGCTCATCTGGTTAAAACATTTGGTTTGCTGAAAGCTGAGCCGGTGATGGTCTGCAAAAGTCTCAAGCAGCTCTGTTGAGTTAGTTTTCTGAGACGTTTGCTCTCTATCATGGAGGGATAGTTGATAAAAATGTCTGTCTATGTTTGTGTACTAGGGGCTTTGGATTGCTCTGATTTTGCTGTGTTATGTTGAAATTTTGGAATTCTGGGGTATATTTAAAGATATCTGTGGTTTTTCTTGTCTGACTGGGACTTTCAGGGGCGGGGCTCACAGCTCCACAAGGAGGAGAGATTTTATGGACCCTGCCCCCTGCCTGTGCTGAATTAAGGATTTTTTTCTTTCAGGAGACCCTCCAGGCTTTTAGTAAAATTTCCCTGCACCCTCGTCATCCTCTGCCTTCTTTTCCAGGCCGACTAAGAGTCATTTTCCTCCACAGGTTGGACCCCAGCATTCTGGGAGGGAGGGCTACTACAGTGACGGCCTGTAGTTTTCTCTGAAACACCTGCTGTTTCTATTTCTCCCCTCTGTAGGAATTGTCTTCCTCTAACTCACAATAGGAAATAATGTATTATTTCCTATTGTGAGTTAGGGGAAGAGAGGCCAGTGTCATTTGGCTTGCTGGTTAAAAGAAGACAACGGGCCCTGGAATCTGTGAAAGTGGCCGGGAATGAAGCTGGTCAAATGTACTGAAAGGGTTCGGTACCTGTTGCTTCTGGAAGAGGAGGGGCTGAGGTCCCCTTCCTGTGCACTCCCTTGGGAGAGGCCTGGTCGCTGCTCTGCCACGGAGGACAGGTGCAAAGGCTGGGGCCTGGTACCCAACCCACTGCCACAGGAGCGCTTTGTAATATGCAGGCCTGTTTCTAACTGCAACTCTGGCTGTTTTGGACTGGCAGCTTATGGCAGGACCCTGTAACTAGTAAACAGGGTTAACAAAAGGGCAAAGGAAAGGCGATCTCCCTGGACCAGGGAGGGAGCCTTCAAGACTTTGAGATTCTCCAAGAGAGGAGGAGGAGTCTGACTGAGGGACTTGCCGAGACCCCGTTGGGTTGGGAGGACCGGAGGCTGCATATTGAACTTGTAGACTGCAGTTTTCTAGGCAGAGTTCCAGGCCCAGTTGTGTAGGGGTTAAGCTACTTGTGTACAGTGAAGCAACTTTCTCCCGTGCCAGAATACATTTTGGGGACTTGGACAGACTGTGTTTGTGGCTGGAAAGAGAAACCAGCTGCCATGCACAGCCCTGACAGTGGCCTGCAGGAAACTGCATAATAGACTTTGAAGATGCCTGTGTCTTCATTGGCATGGCTCCAGAGAGACAAGGATGTTGTGACTCGTAATATTCTAATTGCTACAGTTTGTCTCCGCCAGGTCACAAGCCCACCTCCTTCTGTGCCCAGGCCTCATCATCCCTCTGACAGACAGCAAGGGTCTCTTGGCACTGAGAGAAACTTCTGAGCCACCTCAGCATGGAAGTAATTACAGAAGAAAATGTCAACGCCCACTTTCCCTGAAGGAGTTCAGAGCCAGGTTCCTTGAGGTAATATATGAGGCAGTGAGGCAGACATGAGCAGAGCAAGGACGATGGGCCAGCTGGCACTACCAGATGTGTATGTGAAACAAGGGGCATAGCCAAAGGGGTCCTCACCCAGAGTCTTGGGCCTTGGAAAAGTCCAGTAGCCTACTTGTCTAAGAGACTTGACCCTGTTGCATCTGGTTAGCCTGCTTGCCTCTGGGCGGTAGCTGCCACAGCTATGAGGTTGAGGCTTTGCTTGGGAGCACACCTGAGCACTGGATGTCAAATGCTCAGTCATCCAGTTTCAGGCTCTTCTGCTACCAGCCTCCTTCCTGATGATGACCCTGAGGAACCTCTACATCACTGTTAGAGGTCGACAACTTTGTAAAGACCTGGGCCTCACTGACGCCCCACTGGCATCACTGGATGAGGTACTATTCCTGTCACCCCACAAAAAGGGGCAGAACCATATCTGCAAGACAAAGACCTCAGGAGGTTATAAAAAGCGAAGCCCTCTGCGTGTTTTCTCACTCTGATTTGGAAATCATTCCCGGAGTCCGCTAGTGTTAATAAACGGACCCCTCCCCTTCTCTAGGAAGCGTGCTTGGTATTTCTTTGGTCTTCTGTAACACCAGTTTTTAAATGAGGAAACTAAGACACAGAATAATAAGTAGCCCAAGGTTACCCAGCCAGTAATAAACAAAGCTGTGATGTTATCTCTGTTCACCAGACACCCATGTGGCTTCTATCGATCCTATGTACTTTCTGCTGGTGGATTGAGCTACTGTCTCCTCCTACTTGGGATTCTGGCACTATCTTGCCCAAGGCACTGACAGCTCTTCTGACCTCTCTGGATGTTCTCTGAGGTCTACACTTTTTAAAAAATTATTTATTTTTGCCGAAACAGGTTTGGCTCAGTGGATAGAGTGTCGGCCTGCAGACTGAAGGGTCCCAGGTTCGATTCCAATTCCCGTCAAGGGCATGTACCTTGGTTGCGGGCACATCCCCAGTAGGGGGTGTGCAAGAGGCAGCTGATCGATGATTCTTTCTTATCAATGTCTCTAACTCTCTATCCCTCTCTGTAAAAAATCAATAACATATATTTTTTTAAAAGAATGTCTTAAAATTTAAAAAAATATTTATTTTAGCTGAGACAATTTTAAAAACCACAAAAAATTTAAAAGTATAAAGTCACAGTACATAACACCACTCCTAAAACAGTATTTTCATTCATCTTTCTGGGAGAACTATTCCTGGGAGATTTTTCTTTAATTATTAATAATTAATTAATTTATTTATTTTTAAAATATGTTTTTATTGATTTTTTAGAGAGAGACAGAGAGAGAGAGAGAGAGAGAGAGAGAGAGAGAGAGAGAGAGAGAGAAACATTGATGTGAGAGAGAAACATCAATTGGCTGCCTCTTGCATTCCCTCTACTGGAAATTGAGCTGAAACCTGGGCATGTGCCATGACCGGGAATCAAACTGTGACCTCCTGGTTCCTAGGTTGAGCCATGCTGGCCGAGCCTGAGTCAGTTCTTAATAGTGGATTCAATCTCTTTAGAATTCAATCATTTCACAAGGTTCTCTTGGCTATTATTAGGGGAAACAAATAAATTCTGCACCCCTGACCTGGATGGTATAGAACTGTTGACCTTTTGGTGCATGGGATGATCAAATTGAGCAATACCAGCCAGGGCCCGGGAGACTTTTCTTAGTAAAAAGGTCATAAGCCTACAAGTAAGAATTCCTCTTCTTCCTTGCCACTCAGAGATTACTTCTTTATATTTCTTTCCAGAAACCATTTATGGTCAATTCTCTCAACTAAACTGCAATAAAAGGAAGATTAAAGCCACACTTTGGCTCATCATGTAAGTAATTTATAAAAAAAAATTTATGGTGCTAGTAAGTGCTGTTTTTGTGGACAAATATACCAGAATGCTGATCTAGATGTTCTCTGAATTAAAAGCTCTTTCAACTAAACAGCCTATAAACCAATAAAATGTGATGCAAAAAGAACATCTATTTTTATGCATTTTATTATGGACTTAAAATAATAAAAGGAACTTATCTTTGTCAGATGCTTTTCTTAAATCAGTGCACAACTTCATCCTACATCTCCTGGGTCTGACATGAGGCCATCCAATTTCCAAGTCTGCACTACTGGAGAAATACCTGGAAGAGGAAAGGAGGAAAGAAATGGTATATCAATTTATTTTTGTAAATATATTTTTATTGATTTCAGAGAGGAAGGGAGAGGGAAAGAGATAGAAATATCAAATATGAGAGAGAATCATTGATTGACTGCCTCCTGCATGCCCCCTACTTGGGATAGAGCCTGCAACCTGGGCATATGCCCTGACTGGAAATCAAACCATGACCTCCTAGTTTATAGGTCAATGCTCAACTAGTGAACCATGCTGGCTGGGAGAAAATAGTATATTTAGAATTGATTTTTATGTAACTAAAGGCCTGGTGCATGAAATTCGTGTATGGGGGGGGGGGGGGGTCGCTCAGCCCAGCCTACACCCTCTCCAATCTGGGACCCCTCGAGGGATGTCCAACTGCCCAATCCACCAGAATCAGGCCTAAACGGGCAGTTGGACATCCCTCTCACAATCCAGGACTGCTGGCTCCCAACTGCTCACCTGCCTGCCTTTCTGATTGCCCCTAACCACTTCTGCCTGCCAGCCTGATCACCCCTTAACTACTCCGCTGCCAGCCTGATTGATGCCTAACTGCTCCCCTACCAGTCTGTTTGTCCCTAACTGCCCTCCCCTTCAGACCTGGTCACCCCTAACTGCCCTCCCTACAGGCCCGGTCACCTCTAACTGCCCTCCCTGTAGGCCTGGTCCTCCCCAACTGCTCTCCCCTGCAGGCGTGGGTCCCACCCAACTGCCCTTTCCTGCAGGTCCGGTCACCCCCAACTTCCCTCCTCTGCTGGCCTGGTCACCCCTAACTACCCTCCTCTGTGCGCTTGATTTCCCCCAACTGCTCTCCCTTGCAGGCGTGGTGCCTCCCAACTGCCCTCCCCTGCTGGCCATCCTGTGGTGGCCAACTTATGTCCACATGGGGGCAGCCATCTTTGACCACATGGGGGCAGCCATCTTGTGTGTTGGAGTGATGGTCAATTTGCATATTACTCTTTTATTAGATAGGATAGAGGCCTGGTGCATGGGTGGGGGCCAACTGGTTTGCCCTGAAGGGTGTCTTGGATCATGGTGGGAGTTCCCTTGGGGCATGGGGTGGCCTGGGAGAGGATCCTGTGGTGGTTTGCAGGCCAGCCACACCCCCTGGCAACCCAAGTGGAGGCCCTGGTATCTGGGATTTATTTACCTTCTACAATTGAAACTTTGTAGCCTGGAGTGGAGCCAAGCCTCCTGCTTGCTCCCTGGCTGCAGCCATTTCTGTTGGAATTTATTTACCTTCAAAATTGAAACTTTGTAGCATTGAGTGGAGGTCTACTTTGGCAAGGGCAGGCAGAAAGCTTGGCTTCTTTTATTGACAGGGAAACCCAAGACTCCCTCCTGTTCTCTGTGGCTATAGCCATCTTGGTTGGATTTATTTGCATATTTGCTTCTGATTGGCTGATGGGCATGGCTTGTGGGTATAGTGGAGGTATGGTCAATTTGCATATTATTCTTATTAGATAGGATACTGTAATAACTCCTCCCAGAACAGGAACATGGGAGGTGGCCAATTCTTGACTTCTACAAAATTCACAAACAGTGAAGGTGTCACTGCATGGTTTTTCAAAAACACTGTCAAAGTATGGGGTTTCTTTTTTTTTTTAATGTTTTTTATTTAACATATAGGAAGGGAGAAAGGAGAGAGAGGAGAGAGAGAGAGAGAGAGGAGAGAAACATTGATGTGAGACACTTCAATTGGTTGCCTCCCACACGTACTCCAACTGGGGCCAGGGATCAGGGCCAGGGATCAAACCTGCAAGTACTTGCACTTAACTGGGAATTGATGTGTGGGGACCGGAACTTTAACCACTTAACAACACTGGCCAGGACCATTTCATTCTTTTTTTATGGCTGAATAACATTTCATTGTACATATGTACAACAACTTTTTTAATCCACTCATTAGATAGCATTTTTTTCCTTTTTATTGAATTTATTGGAGTGACATTTAACAGAATTATGTAGGTTAGACAGCATTCTTAAAAAGATAAAATTATAAAGACAGAAAGCAGATCAGTATTTTCCAAAACTTAGGAATGAAGGGAAGGTATGGTAAAAGAATAACATGAGAGAGTTTGGGAAGTGAGAGAACCCTTCTGTAAAT